GGATAGTGTCCCAGGTCGGCGGCTGCCACAGTTCGTGGAGCGTCTCAAGCATGATCATCCAGACGAGGGTATCGGATTTTGGCAAGAGAAGGGAGTCTACAACATGCATCTCAAGGTGGATCCCAAGACGGCAGCCACGATACGGAGTTCGACGAGTCGGAGTCCTACGAAGCCCATCAACACCGCCGAGAGCGAGTTGGCCGCGCGTGCGAGGGATCTGGCAGTCAGCCCTCCGTCGGGGGGCCGCTGGCAGGTCCACCCGCAAGGCCGGCCGCGGCGCCAGTTGCCCCAGGTGCTGGGGGGCCTCTGGCAGGAGCCGCAGAGCCAGCCAGGCCATATGGCGCGCCGCCACCGCCGGCCCAGGAGGAGGCCAGACCTCCGAGAGTGAGGGTGCCGAGGTCACCCTCGGCGCCTACGCAGGAGGAGATTGACGAGCACGAGGCGTCTGGGCACGCAGTGTTCAGAGCATGGTGTTCGGCGTGTTGTGATGGGCATTCTTATGGGCAGCCACATCGTTTGGTTCCCAGAGACGAGGAGATGTAGGTTCCTGTTGTGTCCATGGACTTGGGGCACCTCAACAGCGCCGAGGCGGGCGCGATCCCAGAGGGCCAAGAGCGGAGGATCACGTTTGTTGTTTTGTATTGCCGGAAGTTAAGAAGCTATGGAGCGACAGCCTTACCCAACAAAGGAACGCGAGAGTTTGTTGTCAGAGCGTGTTCGGATTTCTTGGACTATCTAGGTCACAAGAGGTTGGTTCTCAGGTCGGATGGCGAGGAGGCGATGCTATCGCTCAAGAAGGCTATCGTGGACAAGTGTGAGTCTAAGGACATCATCTTGGAGGAGTCGCCGGTTGGCGACCACGCTGCGGACGGTCAAGTCGAGAACGCAGTGAAGATCATCAAGGCGCAGGTGCGCACCATCTTGTTGGCACTACAGTCGAGATGGGGCAAGCGCTTTCCATTCGGGCACGTGCTTGCGCTCTGGGCCATCAGTCACGCGGCCTCAGTCATTAATCGATTTCGAGTTGGAGCTGATGGACGCACTGGAGAAGAGCTGCGTACTGGGCGCAAGTGGGAACGTGCGAGTGTTGCCTATGGCGAGCGCGTCAAGGGCAAGAAGCTGGTAGTTGACCAAAGGAAGCGAGATCTAGAGTCAAGATTCTTGGATGGGTTCTACATCGGACATTCTAGTCGAATTGGGCCAGCATTGTTGATCGCAAGAGAAGGTGTTCAGAGAGCCACTGGGCTTGTACCCAGTTGAGAGATGGAGATACGGACCAGACGTTCTCGAGCTTCAGGGCGAGCCCTGGACTTGGCAGGGAGGACGTGGAGAGGAGGCTGTGGCTGCAGTACCTGCCCCAGCTGGAGCTGTTCCACCAGTGGTCATACCTGTCGGGGTTCAGGCGCCACCGGCGCCGCTTCCGCAGGTAAGAGTTCCAATTGTGAGGGACTTCTACGTGACGAAGGCCATCTTTGCGAGGGTTGGCTACACCGCAGGCTGCGCATGCTGCGATGAGCTAAGAGTGCGCGGACAGCGAGGAGCGGCCGGCCTTAGTCACTCGGCTGGCTGCAGGGCGCGCGTGCTCGAGGATTTGGTGAACTCAGGGGATCAGAAGGCCATTGACTTTCTGAACGAGAGGGCCCGTCAGGGCCAGGATACGGGGCCTGCAGCTGCCGCTGCTGGGCCATCTGGAGTTGAGCGACCTGAAGCACCGGCCGTCGCTCCCGCTCAGGCGGGACAAGGAGGGGAGCGCCCGGCGCTCCCCCCGCGGGCACAGGTGCCAGTGCTGATGGAGATGTGGCGCCCGATGCGAAGAGGCAGATGGAGAAGTCTCCAGAAGGCATTCGAGCAGCGGACGACACACCACGACGAGCAGCTACGAGGACAACGGATGGAGAGCCGGCGTCGAAGTCACCGGCTGCTACGTTCGGGAGCTCGAGTTCGCCATCCCGAGTACGTCCTCGTGAGGATCCTGGAAATGGAGGTGGTGGTGATCGGGTAGCTGCTGCGCTTCGGGATGCTCCCACGCCTGAGGCTTAGAGCTCTTTTGCGGGTCCAGCGGCAGGAGGTTCTGGCTCAGGCGCCGTGGACATGAACGTTGGAAGCTTGGAGATTGATTCGAGTATCCCGCTGGAGTTGCAGTCTCTGGCGATCAGTGAGATTTTCAACCCAGGGCGTTTCGCCGAGCTGGCGCCCGCTTTCGGATTGGTGCCAGGCGTCGCCGCAGATATGGAGCTTTTGAATGAGGGCGGCGAGCCGTATGACCTGTGTCTCGAGAACAATCAGGTCAAGTTTGAGCGTGATGTTGAATTTGAAGACCCTTATCTTCTTTGCTCTGCTCCTCCCTGCACGAAGTTCACGACGTTGCAGGCCCTCGGCCGAGGGAAGCACAAGGATTAGGAGGAGCGCAAATTGCAGGTTGAGATCGACGCGAAGTTGCTGCGTGTTGGAATCCGACAGTGCCGAAAGAGGCACGAGAAGATGCGTTGGTTCTTGCGCGAACATCCTTGGTCGGCAAGTTCTTGGAGTGATCCAGGCGTGGTCGCTCTCGCTTCGGAGCCGGGAGTTTATGCTGTACGTGGAGATATGTGTTCTTGGGGCCTGAAGGCCGAGAACGAGAATGGAGAAATGGAGCCAGTCATGAAAGCAACGGGTTGGATGACTAATAATATACAACTAGCTGAACTCCTTAGTCGCAGGTGCAACGGCAAGCGTAAGCATGCGCAACTCATGGGCAGGAACAAGGTTCGGGGGGCTAAGTCCTACACGATGAAGCTAAAGAAGGCTATCCTTAAGGTACTCATGCAGGAGCTCGAGAGGATTGGTGAGTTGAATAGCGTGACACAGGCGGGCCCCATTCCCGACGAAGAGATAGAGTACTGGATGCCTGATGCGCCGTGCGACGGCGCGGCGGCTACTCCGGGTGCGATGAGTCCGAGTGCTACAAAGCGACGGGGAAGGGGCCGATTAACACCGGATGGGTCGACACGAACAACGGGGATAGCGAACGAGTTCGATATAGATCGAGATTAGTGGCAAAGGAGATGACAAGGGCCAAGAGGCCCGGTGAGCAGTTTAGCGCTAGCGAACTTTTTAGTGGGACACCCCCACTCGAGGCGATCAGATTTTTGGTGAGCCTCTTGGTTTCACAGGAGTCTTCGAGCCGGGGCTCACCATTAAAATTCGGTTTTTGGGACGTGCCCCAGGCCCATCTGCATGGAGAGGCCCAGCGTAATGTTTGCGTGCGCCGACCCCCGGAAGAAGGGGGGTCTGCAGGCAAGTGTGCTCGTTTAAATAAGTCATTGTATGGAACCCAAGATGCGTCTCACATCTGGCAGGGAGACTATATAACACACCTGGCCGGAGAAGGTTGGCGACAGGGTGCGGCCTCGGCCGCGCTCATCTATCGTGAGAGCGACGGCGGTCGAGGGGCGGTTCACGGAGACGATTTTATGTTTCTGGGTGATGAGGTCACCCTGAGCGAGGTAGATCGCTGCCTTGGGCCCCGGCACGACATGAACTGCACAGGGGTCCTTGGCCCCGATTCTGGCGATCACAAGGAGATAGTCTTTTTAAATCGAGTGTTCAGGTTCGTGGATACTCCCAGGGCGGTCGAGATAGAAGGCGACCAGCGCCATGTAGATATCATCCTGCGGGATCTAGGTCTCGATCGCCCCGGGTCCAAAGGTTTGGAGAGTCCAGCTGCGAAGCGTTCGTTTCACGAGGCCAAGGCTAGAGAAGCACTTCCCACTCCTGGATGCTGTGGGGATCCGCTCGCATTGGTCTCTTGTTATGCGTGCTGCGTACTTGAGTCTGGACAGGCCAGACATTGCAGAGGCTACTAAGACCTTGTGTAGGTCTATGAAGTCTCCTCATTCTGCTAACCAGGGCGATATGAAGCGTCTTGGAAGATATATTATGTCTCACCGCTGTCTGGTCAGTCGTTTCGAGTCGCAGCGTTTGCCTACCGAAGTGACGGTGATCGTGGACAGCGATCATGCAGGTGCCCGATAACCCGCAAGTCGACCTCGGGCATTGTTTGCAAGTTCGGCCGTCATGTCTTGAAGGCCTCGAGTTCTCTTCAGAGCACTGTGGGTTTGAGCAGTGGGGAGAATGAGTTCTATGCGATTGTGAAGGGGGCCGCCGCGGGCCTCGTAGTCCAGTCGATTGCTCAGGACCTTGGAGTTTCCCTCGGGGTCAGTGTACGTAACAATGATGATTTTCCTATTCAGCTGGCATCGGATTCGAGTGCCGCTCGTGCGTTTGCCCAGCGTAAGGGTTTGGGCAAGCAGAAGCATGTGCAAAGCAGGTTTCTTTGGGTCCAGGACGCCGTTTCGAAGCGTAGGATCCGTGTAATTAAGGTAGACATTCACAAGAATGGGAGTGACATGTTGACTAAGTGCGTGCCGGCACATGTATCGCGTAAGCATCTGGTCAGCATGGGTTTTGATTTTCGTGATTCCTGGAGCAGGCTACATAGAAAGCTGGCCTGGAGAGTCGGTTTCAGTCTGCGCTTTAGGAGGAGTGCATATGTGTAGCGTATTATGTTATCGCTGCGTGAGCTGACGTGTTGGATATCGTTTCATTGATGTGCATCGTTGTTACCCGCAACCGTTTTGCTCCAGGCACCTTCAGGCGATGAAGAAAAGGGGTTCGTTCTTCACAGAGATTATTTCTGCAGTTGCGTCCCCCTCGCCGTCGCCCTCCTGTTCCCCCACCGCCTCCCCCCATTCCTCGCCCTGCGTTCCTGATTGCTCCTCCTGTTTGACCCTTTCCTCTCCCCTCCTCGCTTTCCCTCCCCTCCTCTTCTTTCCTATCCTTTTCTTCCCCTTTCCCCTCACCTCCTCCTCCTCCTCCTCCTCCTCCTCCTCTTCCTCCCCCTCCTCCTCTTCCTCCCCCTCTTCTTCCTCAGCCTCCTCCTTTTTCTCCTTTCCGCGCGGGCAGCCCCCGCTCTTCGGAGCGCGCGGGGAGGGGGGCGCGCGGCTCTTGCGCGTGCGGAGGTGCCGCACAACGATCCGACCTTGCTCTTTATCAACGCCGGCATGAACCAGTTCAAGCCCATCTTCGTCGGCAGCCCCGCCACGCTTCGGCACGAACAGATTGGGCACGGAAGGACTGGGTACGAAGACCGACATCAGTTCCTGCCCATCTTGAGCAGGGATCGCTGTCGGCATCGCCGCGGATGCTGCCCCTCTGATGCTCAAGGGCGCCTGCCCAACAGCGGCCGCTGTTGGTTTTCGGCGACATTTGTTCTGGGGCGACGAGCGAGGGGGGAGGTGAGAAGGAGCAGGCCTTCTCAGAAAGCGGCGGGACTTCTTAGAAACCTTCGCGCCTTCCGCGTGGTGTTTTGTGTCTTCGGGGAACGCTTAGAATGCCGGGAGATTTCCGAGCCTTCCGAGAAGCCCGCCCCCTCTCACTTGCCCCCTGGGCTCGCCGCCGAACGTTTTCCGTACCCGCTCCAGGTGTCCCAAGCGCGCGCTGCCGCTCCCTTCGCGTCGTGGGGCCGCCGCTGTGGAGCAGGGGGGCCTTGGGGGCAAGGCGGGGGGAGTGGTCCTGGATCGGTAGGGGGCCGCATGCGAACCCTACCCCTACCCCCCACGATTTTTCAGGAGCGAAGTGAACCCCACCCTCCCCCTCAGAAATCGTGGGGGGTAGGGTAGGGTTCGCATGCGGCCCCCTAATCGGGGTTCGAGGACGGAGGGTTCGCCAGACCCCCTCTATTCGTTCACATCCTCGGGCTCTGGGGGGGCCCCTCGCCGTGCCCCGGGGCCGTCGAGAGACCAACTGCGGGGGCAAGAGATCGGTCCTGGGGAGGGGGTTCTCTTCGGGGGGGCCACGCTGTGACCAAGAGCACGGTGGCAGATGTCCGTGGGGAAGGGGGCACGGCTAGGTTCGGTTCGACATTCTCGTCGGGAGGCACCCCGGGAAGGTAGAGGCTTGTGGCCGGAAGGAGGATCGACATGAAGAAAAGTGGTGTTGAGGGAAGGGGGGCGAGATTTGGTTCGTTTTCGAGTTTCTGGGCCCCTCCCCGGGACGAGGGGTCGTCCAACAGTTGTTGGTCCCAGAGTGATTTGCTTCCGCTATGATCCTTTCTCCAACACGCTAATCATCGCTTGCTGGCAAGACCAAATCGCCCAGCACTTCTTCTTGGCTGCTTCGGGCGGGCGAGCGCCTCTGGGCCACCCAAGATCGCCGCCATGCCCGCGCGGTCTCCTGAAATCGCCTGCACGCGCCTTGCGACTTGCATCGGGCCCTCGTGAATCGCCTCGAGGCGGTGCTTCGTTTCTCCGCGCTGCAGGTATTCACCGTGCACCCTTTGCCGAGCTAGCTCCGATCGCGCTCTTTCATTATCGCATCTCCTCGTCTCCCAGCGAGGAGGCTTTCGCTCGCTCGACGCGGGGCTTGACGCACGTGTTCTCCATATGGCGCTCTGGCATGCAAGGGGCGGGTCGCGCAATCGACCTGAAGTCAAGCCACCTCCGCCACCGCCCAGTGCCAACACAGCGACTAAAAAGGCAGAGGATGGAGCAGGAGGTGAATGGAGAGGGAGGGTGGGAGCGCGGAAGGAGGAGAGGAATAATTAGGATGAGGAGGGGCAGGAAGGGGAAGGGGTAAGGAAGGGGAAGGGGGACGGAAGGAACGGGAAGGGGGGGATGAGGAGGGAGGGCCAGAGGAAAGGCAAAGCAGGGACAGCGTTCTGGGTTGAATCTTGCCAGTTGCCCCGGCATCGGTCGAGAATGAATTTTCTGCGCCGTCCGAGGTCCGCGAGTTTTCACGATGGAAGGACCCTCGCTGTGTGGGAAGCCAGCGACGGCGTCATCACGGCGTGACCCTGCCGTAGAAGGAGAGCGAGGAGGCGAGTAAAATGGGTGGAGCAGGAGGAGGAGGAGGAGGAGGAGGACTTTTGCCGCGCGGCCCCCATGCGCTGGCGGCGTCGAGTCCCCAACCACGAGATTTGAAATAGGGCCAGAGACCTGGGAGCCAACAAGGGCCAGGCGGTCTGAGGTCAGGGGCAAAGTTAGGGGGGAAGGGCTCAGGGGGGATTCATCGACCCCCGATCGCCCATTCATCGTCAAGAGAGGCTCGATAGCTCACCCAGCCCAGGAATGTGCAGGTTCGCTATCGGAGGCCTATCGCCAAACTATCGGCGATGTATCGCCGAGTCCAAGTCGAGGTTTTTCTCTCTGAGCCGGTCTCCCCCTCATTACCGTTGCCCCTATCACGATGAGATGGCGAGGGGGAGGAGAGAGGTGAGAGCGCAAGTTGGGGGAAGCAGGTTAGAAATCGAGGAAGCGCAGACATGGATCGAGGCGTGTGGATTGGCGATAGGCGATAGGCTGCGTTTCCGTACAGCTTGGACGCGCTCCGTCGCCAACTCAGGTGGCGCTGTGTCGATGTTTCGCCCCGATCCGTGGATCTGGCGCCCACGCGCCACACACACGGATGCGTAACCCATTCCAAAGCGGGCGCCCGAAGCAAGTTGTGTCCGAGGGGAGGCCGCCGCCTGGGTTCATAGAAAACAGAGCTCCCGGCCATCCTCGCACACCCCGCGTAATGCGGTGCCCAAAGGGAGCCTGTGTTCCCAGGGTGTCCCGCCTCGTGCCTTCGAGGAATGACGACTGCATACCGCGGCCGCCAGGCCCAAAGTGTGCAGCTTTCCCCTGACTGTCCCGCCTCGCGTGCATGGGTGGGGCTCGCTCGAAGCAAAGCAATCGTGAAGTCATTTTGAGATCGCCTTGCCTATCCAATCTCGAAGACATACATCAGTATATATTGTCGGGGGTCCGCTCGGATTCCTGGGATCGGCCTTGGACCCCCGCCAGCGGCGCTTCTGGCGCCGCCCAGGATATCCAACTCCGATCCAAGAAGTCCGCCCGGACCCCCGAGAGTTGGTGGTATTGTCTTTGGTTTCTCCCTCATGATTACGGGAAGCCGCGGCACTCTCCCCGAAGGAGGATCATTATAATACGAAGAAGAAGAATTATATTTAATAATCACAATAATAACCATCATGGTAATAGCAACATTAACAGTAATAACAATATCGGGGGTGGACAGAACCCCCAACAGTGACACGTCGATTAGTGAATTGTCCGTTTTCGGTTCTCGAGAGGGTGCCGTGGCCGTTATTTTCCAGGCCTGCGCCCACCAGGTTTGGCCCTCAGGTCGTTTTCACTAAACCACGTTTTACTAAAGGGGGGTGTGTCCATCCCCGATCATAACAACAATAATAGTATTATGGCGACGAATAATAACGATACGAAGAGTAATAATGATACTCAGAAAGGAGCCAGGGGAGGAACGACGACGCCGACCACACAAGACGCAGACCCGGTCACTTACCAAGCATCCCTGGTTCGATTCCTTCATCAGGCGAGTTTGTTGAGGAGTTGGCTTTTTTGTTGCAATGGTGCTGATTATGAGGGTGTTTTTTCTGCCCATTAAGTTTTTGTAAGTTAGCGGGCGCAAACGGGTCGAAGCCGATGCAGGCGCCGGTCGGGTTGCGGGCGGGAGACGTTGGGAACGGATATTCGGGCACAGCTAGCGGAGAGGGACGCAGAGAAAAGGCGAACAGAGGCGGGGTCCATTCAGAACGTGAAGTCTTCGCGGGCGTGCCGAATGTGTGCAAGGCGCAGAAGCGCGGTTGCATAAAAAACAGCGGGTGGCCGGGGCTGGAGGACCACCTGCCCTCTTAACAGGCAGAGCGGCCTCTGCGGGGCCCCGCCACCCTCTCGGACGAGGGTCCCCCGCTTGACCTCCCCCCCTCCCCCGACGCGTCGTCGCCGTGGCGCAGATGCATCAGCGAACTCGGTGCTACGGAGTCTGAAAGTCTGAGGGCCCCGTCTCTGAGTGAAGCCGCGGTGATGAGAACCACCTTGGGGCTCAGGAGGGGCTCCAGTTTTCGGGCAGTGCGTGCAGCAGGCGCGCACTGCAACCGATGTGCCGTCCAGGCACGGTTCTGACCGACTGACCCAGGTTCGGTGCGGTCGGAATGGGTGCGGAAGGAGTGGGGGTGAAGACCAACACCAGTTCCTGCCCATGTTGAACAGTACTCGTTATCGCTGTCGCCGCGGACGTTGTCCATTTGAGCCAGAGGGTCGCCTGCCCGACGACGGCCGCTGTTAGTTCGGGGCATCATCTGCTGATGGGCATCGTAACGGCTGAGCTTTCCCGTGCCCACTTTGCGCGTGCCAGCAGGTCGGGGAACCTGTTCGTGGCCGAGGCTCGCCGTGGCTAGAGACGCCCACCTCCGTTTCTTATGTCTAGTACCCTCGCGGCAAGGCACGACGGCCGCAAACCCCCGGACCCCACCCGGGCGGCCTTTGTTGGAGAAGCGGGGGTCCGAAACAGTGCGATGACCACACGGTGTGGTGAGTCGGGGGATCCGCGGGGACCACACGGTTTTGGGATTTGGGCCGTCCTTTGTGGATTGTATCGGGCGGCTGGGGCTTCCAGGGTCCCAAAATCTTGCGGTGAGGTCTCCGTCAAGGGAAGGGAACCACCCGGACCCCGACAATTGGCGTTTTATTCAGCGGCCTTGGGCGTTTGCCAAACGTCCATACCTTGTTCGATTCCTTCCTTTGGTGCCTTTACTAAACGGCTTCGCTTGTCGGGGTGCTTATTAACTATGTGGGCGGATTTTCAGGTCTCTACTCCGAGGCTTCTGCAGTCACCGCAAGGCATGTCGCCGCACCGTTTCGGGACCCCCAGCCCCTCCACCCGCCCCTCGGTCCTCCCTCCTCGAGTCTCGATCCTCGAACTTCCCTTCTCGAACCTCTATCCTGGAACCTCGATCCTCGAACCTTCCTCCCGGATCCGCTGTTGACGCGGGTGTCTGGGCGTCCGACGCCCAGCTGGCCGGAGGCCAGATCGACCCGAGCCACCCATTCGCGAAGTTGAAGCGCGCGGCCAACTCACAGAAGTGCATCCGCGCCGGCGGCAAGCATAACGACCTGGAGGACACCGTGGCCAGGGTCCCTTTGCATCCGATCGATCCGATTCGGTATCCATTCTGGCCAGCTCGATCCTATTCGACTCGGGCGTTCCGACGATCGCGGATGGGGAGGAGGGCCAGTCGAGACAGCTCGGAGCGGACAGGGAGAATTCATGACACGCTGCCGTTGGGATCCCGTGTTGCTCCCTCGCTGTTGTCCAGAGGCATGGTGCTTCTGCTGTGGACTGCTGCTGCTCCCCAAACAACGGCGGCATTCCCTGGCGGTCTTGTCCAAGGCCCCATTGCCACCGTCCGCGTGCGTCCGGGAAATGTAATTTGGCATTTTCACCCGCGCAGTGCAGAGTTTCGTGGCCCCATAGGGGGCTCCACGGAAGCCCCCAGCGGGACCGTCCACATGCGTCCCGGTAACCCAATTTGGCATTTTCACTCACTCAGTAGAGCGATTCGTGGCCCCATAGGGAGGTCCTTTTTGGGGGGCTCCTGGAGAGGCTCCTCGTCGCCACGGCCAGGTCCTCCTCGAAGAGCGGGTCGGGGTGGACCCCTGGAGGGGTCTGGGGACATATTTGTTCTGCGGGTGCGGGCCGGTTGGGAGAGCCGCTGCCGTCTCGGCCCACCCTCCTCCGACCGGGGGGAGGATCGCAGTCCAGTGCTTCTGGACGTCGCTGGCTCTTTCCTCGTTCTGTCTCCTCTCCTCCTCGCCCTCCCTTCCTCGTCTGCCCCTTTCCTCCTTTCCTCTTCCGCCTGCCTCCTCCTCCTCCTCCTCCTCCTCCTCCTCCTCCTCCTCCTCCTCCTCCTCCTCCTCCCCCTCCTCCTGGCCCACCTCCTCCTTGGGGTTCCACGCAAGCCTAGCCACCCTCGGTTGTTCTCGCCCGCTGTTTCGGGGGGATCGAGGATGATGAAGGTTCGACCATCGATAGTCTGAGGGTGCTCGACGCTCTCGTGGCCACGGCCGGACCCGCCCCGAATTTCTGCCCAGAGCGCACCGCTGGACAGGCCTGCGGCTCGATCCCTCTCGGGGAGGGAGGCCCCGGACCCTCCTGGAGCGTGGCACACTCGGGCGTCGAGTACGGTCGGACCGAGGTAGAAGAGCGAGGCCGGTTCGGGGAGGGTACCCTGATGTTCTTCGTGTTGGTTGGATGTTTTTGTGCATCTTGGGGAGGGTACCCTCTAACGTTTTTCTGTTTGGCCGGCGAAGGGTCGCATGTTCTTGAAGGATGTTTTTCTATTGTAGGTCTGGCCGTACAGCCAAGACGCTGAAACACGGACCGCTTTGGGTTCGGAAGGGGCTCACTGTTCTTCGGGTCATTCCTGGTTGTTCCTCTAGCCCTCCTCGTGCACCAGGGCGCTTTGGGCGCCGAAACGGAGCTTCGTTCCTTATGCAGCGTTTCTTATCGCTTGTTTCAGCAGCCCGACAGTCATACCCTTGCGTCGGATGTCTGGGCTCGGCTCTGGGCGGTCAGAATGCGGATCCGAGGCGGGACATTCGTCTTGAGGAAGACCAAGAAACGAGCACAGGACGTCGCAGGTAGCGTAGGATGACGAGCAAGACATGCCCCACGAGGGGCCCGTCACGCATCACCGCCCTTGGTGATGATTGACATACTTGGTTCCGGCACTGCTCGTGGGTATCGCCGTTGTCGTTGAGTTTCTCTTTGGTCGACCTCTCCAAGAATTCTTCCTCGCGGGAGAAGACCACCCAGTTATATTCTATATATATATACTTCTGTGTTCTGAGGACCCCCTTCCCGCAGCAAGACGTCGATAGTCTGGGGGGCGCTGCCAAGCCAGGCCCCACCAGGGTGGCGCGCATCGCACATGCACATGCCCCAGCCGCGTGCCAACGTCGCTCAAGGTATCCGTTAAAATGAGACTCCTGAGCGGCGCTGGTATACCCGTGGTTGAATATTGGCCTAATTTGGCCTGACCCCGTTCAATCCAGCTCAATCCCACTTAATCCGGCTCAAGCCTGGGCTTCTGCATTGGGCTAGTCTGGCCTGGTGGGGTTTATCCGGACTCCATGACCCTCAGTCGTCCGTCCGAAAACCTCTCAAGAGTTGTTTCCGAGCATTTGGCAGAAGATTGGCCTCGAGCCTCTTGCGCGCCTCTTTTGACAGGGGCGCTGACGCCTGCACCCAGACCCTCTGCTTGGCTTGCGTTGGAGTGCCTGCGCGGCTTGCTGGGCAGCGAAGGGTGCCCACGACAGATTCCCATTATCCGAGGATGAGGGATGAGAAAGCTGTGTGAACATGATTTCTCCGAGGTCCGTGCGGACTTCTTGGAACGGCGCTAGACCCCCCCCGGTGGCGCCTCCAGCGCCGCCCCTGGCGCGCTTCGCGCTCCAGGGAGGGGAGGGGTCCAGTGCCGATCCAAGAAATCCGATGTTTATGTCGTTGTTTTGTTCGTCAAATCACCCGCGGGGGCGAGAAGACCGCCGCGCTTTCCGATGTTTTGCCAGAGAGTTATTCTTCGGGGGGTGGGGGGGGGGCGGCGCCGCGCCAGAGCGCAAAGGCAACCGCGGCATGTGCAGCGATTCCTCCCTCGGGTGCGTTTACTACGGGGCTTCGCTTGCAGGGTGGGTCTCATTCAGGTGTTGCTTGGAAACGCGCTGAGCGTTTCTTTTTCAATAGCTTCCAGCCAACATCGTGGACCTGGAATCGGTTAACCAAAAGCTGCAGCCCGAAATTGTGAAACAACGGTGATGGACAAACAGGTGGAAGCCATCAGAACACATCCGGGTGAAGGTTGACAACGGTAAGATCACGTTCTTTACGAGAGTAGAGACCAGCCGTCGAGGGCAGCATCACGCTGCCCCCGAAAGGGAACCTCTCTCTCTGTCTCTGGTGCTGCAGGGGCTCTTCCTGCCTCCAGCGCTGCACCACCGACAGGGGGCCCAGGGCAGCGATCGGAGGCCTGGCTTGGCCGCGCCGGGGCCCGCCCGAGGGCCCCCCTGGCGCGCCTGGCCTGGCAGCCGCGGCGCTCTTCGTCTTCTCGTCGTCGTCGTTGTCGTTCGTCGACGTCGTCATCCTGTCAGGGGCAACGTTCGGGAGCGATGGGCTCCAGGGGGAGCGTTCGATAGATGTCCAGAGTTGTTCGGGACCTGGGCTGGTTTCCATCAGCTGCGCACCGTGGAGAGCGCTCTGGGGGTGCCCGAATCGTCCTGGTCGGCCGACGAGGAGCTGAGTTATGACCACACAACCAGAGGGCAATTTTAGGGGGGCAGGGGGGGATGCATAGACCCCCAATCGCCCACTCATGGCCGAAAAGGGCTTGATAGCCCACCCCGCCCCATAACCCAGAGGGGTCTTCAATGCTAACCGCCCCCCCCTCCCACCTCACGCTCTCTTCTGGCAATTCAACTCCTCCTTCCCCCCCTCGTCCTTCTCCCCCTCGTCCTCCCACGCAATGGGCGCCTCGGGCTCAGCCTGTGCGTGCAAGGAGAGAAGGAGGATGAGGAAGAGAGTAAGTGCGCGAGAAATTACGATAACGACTGCGGCGGCGACGACGCGACGACGGCGGAGGCTTGAGCGGTGACCACCGCGGGGGGAATCATTATTTTCCAAGCTCGCGGAAGTAAAAGCATGGATTTTCCCACACTTGTTGTTTAGACCCTTCGCGGTTATGCAATCTGTCAGCGATGTATCGCCGATTCCCTCTCAATGTTTCTCCCTCTTTGCCTGTCCCCGTCTATTCTCCCTCATTATTATCCTTCGTCGACGTCGTCGTCTTTCGCCGGGGCCAGCATCGACGCCGTCGCCCTCGTCGCAGGACGTCGGGAAGGACGTGTACCACCACACGTTCTTCGAGATGCTTGGCGGCCGGCTCAGCGCGAGCCCAGACCTCCGCCATCTAGTTGTTTGTTCAGAATGTGGCTCCACAGAGATCCAGACCGCCTTTGTTGACACCGGTTTCTCATCCCGTGCCGTTTTGTTAATTGTCCCGTTGCCAGGCGAGGGCCCCCAGAGTTTCAAATTTGCCCAAAGTCTTCTGTCGTCATTCTGGCACGCTTGGAACCGGCCGACATCGAATGATCTGCGCAATCGGAAGATTCCAATTGTTCCAGGCTTAACGATCCAAGCGGTGTCAGAAACCAACGCCAATGTCACGACACGATTTTGACATGCCTCCGATGACGAATTCTTTTCGAGTCGGCGGGCAGCTCGGAGCTCCTGGCCCCTTCTGGAGGTATCCTTTTGAAGGTTCCCTGATTCAGAAACGGTTCTGGACGGCGAGCGATAACGAGTAGACGCCGTCAGCACCACTGTTCAGAGTCGCCAGGGTCCCAGTTCGTCGGACGGCTTCTGCCAGCGGGGTCAGTCCGTCCCCGAAGATGGCGCCCCTTGTTCGGCTGCGTCGGGAGTCGCAACGAGGAATTCGCCTGCCCCTCTGGCATCGCAGGGGAGGTAACTGTACTGATTCCTATCGTGTGCACCTCACAGTTCTGGCACTGGAAGTGGGAGGAGGAGGAGGAAGAGGAGGAGGAGGAGGAGGAGGAGAAGGAGCAGGAGGAGGAGGGAGAAGAGGAGGAGGAGGAGGAGCATAAGGCGAGGTGAGGAGCACGCACACTTCTCTGGCCTAGTTGTCGGAGGCGCAAGAAGTCACGATATAACGATGCGTTCCAAGATCACCTGGTGTTCCTGCTGCTCCGCCCGCAATCCAGAGACGAGGGTCGTCGGATGCTTCGGAATTCCTGGTACGCATCCTGAGCCCATCGCATCCTGACATCATTCGTGGCCTCAGTTGAGGGAGAGGGGGTGGGAGGCGCCACACCGCAGCATTGCCCGCAACATTCCCTGCGGATGGAATGGACGCGAGAGCGGCGGCGACCAGGTCCGCGCCGGGGCGCGCTCTTGGGCAAAACAGGCAGAGGGGGCCCTCTCGAAGGTGGTTGCGTATGGCAGGTTCACGTCGTGTCAACGCGGCTGCGACCCCGCCGCGGGCATCCAAGGGTGAGATTGCCAGTGTTCCAGAATCGGCCAGCATGGAACGACCTTGCGATGGACAGGCCGCCGATCAGAGACGAAAGCTTGCGAACGATCCACACGGTGTCGGAGACCAGCGCTGGTGTCGTTGCGACACGACCCTGCCGTAGGAGCCAGATGGGCCGCACGGCGAAGACGTCAATTGCTGATGTCTGCGGCCGCTCGCGAACCCGACCCCTGCAGGTCCCGTCGAAGCTCTGGTATCACACCCTCAAGGGTACTGATGGCTGCGGACAACCTTCGAATTCTGACCCCCCGCCGATGCTTCAGAAATGTGACCGCAGGGGTAGACATGTGGCTTCCAGGGATGCTCACATCATCGTCTTTTTTGGCCCATGCACGATCCACCTCTCCTCAGCCGATTTGCCTGCCAAGTTGTACAGCACTGCCAGCCTTCTCAGGCAACTGGTCTTTCGGCGACTACTTCAAGAAGGACGCCATCGACTGGGCCTGGGAGCTCCTGACCAAGGCCAGGGCTGCCTGCCGCGGCGGCGGCGATGCCAGGAAGCAAATGGAGGAGGTGCGTTGTCGAGGGTGTCCGCGGTTCGGTCCGTTCGGCTTCTTCGGAGACGGTTGCGTTTGGTCGGATCGGGTCGGTCGGTTGTGGTGTATTTGCGGCGTCGCCGCACCTTTCAGGCTGCTTTAGGCTTCCGGCCCGTCCGTCTCGGTTTCGCTGTCGGTTCGCTCGGTTTTCGGCTGTGCTGACGCAGTGGACGGTCTCGTTCGTGTGCGTCGTGAACTGCTCGGCTCCTTTTGCGGGCGGGCCAGTGGAGACAACGGCGGATCTCCCGCCTGGCCCAACCCGGCTCTCGAAATCTCTCTTTCCTCGGACCCCTCCTGGAATCCATCCTGGCTTTTGGGCCGGCCAGAGCCACGGAAAGCTTCCGGGAGGCGCAGAGAGGACGAAGAACGGCAGGAAGGGCCGCCGTCGTCTCGACTGGCCCTCCTCCGAATGTCCCCTCCCGACGTCACGAAAAGATCAGGCTTGGCATCGTCGCGTCAGAGCCTCGGAGCCCTGGGCCCGATCTCTCTGCTGGATCTGTCGAGCCGGATCGATCGGGGAGGGTCTCGGGCCCCAGAAGGGGGCAAATTCGCCAGTGGTGCACAAAATTCGACGCCAAGATCTCAGGGACCACCCAGGGCGTCGTGACATCCGTCGCGGCGGGCGCTCTCTGCCTTGTCGTCGGGCCGTCCCTCGGCGGATCCATCGGGGGAGGGTATCGAGTCGCGGCCCGCGGAGGGAAGGGCCAGTCCAGATCGGAGGAGGGCTAGTCGAGACAACGGCGCCCTGCCCCAAGATCGAAGGATTGCAAAAAAACCCTAGGGTTTTTTGCAATCTTTCGTTCAAGGTTTTTTTTTGTTTGCAATCCTTCGGTTTTTCTGCAATCCTGGGTTTTTTTGCAATCCGGCGTTGCATTTTTTTCACGCCAGGCTCAGGCTTGCGCCCAGGTCACGGGGCCCCGGGGCCACGGCGCTGAAAGACGGGGGTCCAGGGCTCCGCTCGTGTCCGCGAGGCGAGAGCTATGCGTTTGCACGCGCGATTGGGCCAGGCCCCATGCTGGACCCAGAGAGTCGGAGGAGGGGAGGGTCAGTCGAGGCAACGGCGGCCCACGATCCAAAGGCCAACCGAGCAACAGCCAGCAAGGGGCAGGGGCGGCCCAACCGACCCCTGGCAAACCATCCCCTCCCGTGTTGTCCCCCTCGCCTCGCCCCAAGACGTATGTCTGCGGCTGGTGGGGAGCTCGAAAGGCGAGGATGACGTCACCTGAGGGGATGGTTGTGTAGGAGTCGGTTAGGCCACGCCCGAAATCCGGGTTGAGCTGGCCCAGCAGTAGTTCCGGCCAGCCGAGGAGGGAGCGACAAGGGCCCTTTCGTCGCCGCAGCTGGACTCGGCTCGAGTAGCTTGTCAGTTTCGACATCTTGAGGGCTTTGGGGCTGATCTGTTTCAGCAAATTTGCCCTCGTGACTGACTTGCTTCAGGCTTACTCAGCTTAGACCCCCTGCCCGCCTCCAGGCACAGATGTTAATGTGTGTGTTTGTGTATGTGTGTGTCTGTGTATATGTGTCTGTGTGTCGGTGTCTGTGTCTGCGTCTGCGTCTGTGTCTGTCCGCCAGGCGCAGGCAGCTCTCGTTCACCAGGGACTTCAGCCCAAGTCGCATTTCACAAAACGGACGCAGGTCCCTGTCGTTTTACGTTCTTGTTGTGCCCCCCATCGCCACACTGCTGGATCCGCCCCCCAAAACAGGTCAGGACAAAATGGGCTTTGGGACAAAACAGGTCGGATGTCTTGATGGTTTGTCATATGCTTGCAAGAGCGAGCGTGGCAGTCAGAAGAATGAGGACCGTCGTCATGATAGATTATTCCAGCCTACAAGGTAGTCAGGCGCATGCCAGTCGTAGTGACCCCACGTCTTGCGAACTTGTTCCCCAACTGACAGGTTGGGATTGATTGTGTCAAAAATGCCCGCCCGCCAGCCATGCATACCGCGGCCCCCATGTCCAAGTAACCCCATGTGGTCACTGAGTATCCCGCCTCGCCAGCCTTGAATACCGCAGCCGCCAAACCAAGCAAATCCTGGGCGGTCCCGTAGTATCCCGCCTGGTCAGCTCTGCATAGGAGAGCGGGGGGACGGTGGAATGGGAGAGGAGGGAGGGAGGCAGGACGACGGGAGGCAGAACAAGAGGTGAGATGCAGACGAGGAGGCAGGGAGGAGAATATATCTTCGTCCGCGTCCTCATTGTGTTCGTCGCCCTTCATATCGTTGTCATGCGTGTCCATTCTCCCAACGGTCCTGCTCTTCCTTCCATACCTTTTCTTCTTTCAGGCATTCTTCATCACTGTGATCCTCCTGTTCTCCCCACTTCCCTTCGATGTCGTCTTCCTTCCCTCCCCTCCTCCCTCCCTCCACGCTCGCTTCAACGCGCTGCTGTCTCAGGCCGCAGCATTTGTGCAAGCGCCGGCCTCGCGACTGCATTGGGCCCGCGGTGTCGCTTCAGCGCCGGCCACGTCCCTGACCGGGAGCAGTGCTCCCGCCCGGCCGAGCGTTGTCCACACCCGCGACCGGGAGCCGATTGGGGGCCGCGCTCTCGCCCCAGCGCTGGCCACATCCAGGAGAGGGAGCGGCCCCGTCGCCCGAGCGCCAGCCACACCCTCGAGTGGGAGCGGAGCCCTCGCCTGAGCACAGGCAGCAACGCCCACTGGAGACGGTGCTCCCGCTTGAGCGCCTGGCACGTTGCCGATGGGGAAGCGGTGCTCTCGCTTGAGTGCCAGCCGGACATGTTGTTGGGACAGGCGCGGGGTTCGTGCAGCCGCGCGCTCGCTTGACACACGCGTGTCGTCGAGCCGTAGGGCAGGTTACTCTTGATTGGGTCAGGTTACCTTTCGCGCAGTGTCGATCGGGGGACTGCGTCAGATTAGTGGGGGGGAGCTTGCAACTGCGCACGTAAAGAAAACCGCAGCTCCGATGGCCTCGGCCTCCAAGACGGCCTGAGAGACCCCCAAGAGCGAAGTTCGCACCTTAAGAAAAACGAAGGGAGTCAGTTTGGCTTCCGTGGCCAGCCCCCGCGGCCTCCAAGACGGCCCGAGAGGCCCCTAAGAGAGCGCCGGACTTGGCCGAGGTTGGCCCCGGGAGAGCTCCTACAAGCATGCGGCGTGGGTGGCCAGAAGGTGACCATTTCCAGAACCACTCCTGGGACCCTCGCCCTGCTCGTACAGGCATACGGCGTGTGTGGCCGATGGTCAAAGTGGTCCCAGGATCACCCAAATCTCTTCAAGGAAGGGGGGGAGGGAGGGAGCCCCCTCCCCCTGGACCTCCCAGGGCCACTCCTGCGACCGCCCTACGCATGCGACGTGTGTGGCCCAAAGATGGTCAAAGTGGTTCCAGGATCGCCCAAGTCTCTTCCAGGAAGGGGGGAGGGAGGGAGCCCCCTCCCCCCTGGACCTCCCAGGGCCACTCCTGGGCCCCACTCAGGCTGGGAAGGGGTGAAAGGGGAGGGACTTCGTTTGGGCGGGATTGCGGCGTTTTTGTTGACGGCTTTGCGACGTACCTCGGTTTCCCTCGGGCTTGTGAGCCTGACCAGGGCCCAGATGGCCCAGAGAGGCCACAGGGACATGATGATACATTTTCATTGAAAAACCCTTGCACGCGCCAGCAGGGTTCGAGGATTTAGATGTTGGTGCCAGCCGCATGGCAAACTACACAAGAATTCAATCTCAGAGTGTTCGTTGTGGTTCTACTTCTCTGGCCTCCCAGTCTTCCGTTGATCTCCCGTGGTTCCGCTACCGTTATGTATGTTCGATTCGACGTGGTCCTTTTGGCTTCGCGAATGACAGTTCCCACCCCCTCATCAGGTCTACGGCATGGACCCATCGCGCCTGTACGCCACGTACTACGGTGGAGATCCCAAGCAGCCCAGCGTTCAGGGGCTGCTGGGAATGAGCGAGGGAGGAGGCCACGGTTTTCTCTGTGGATCTCCGACGGGAGGGCAGGCCGGTGGGCTGAGCCATTTTCTCGAAACCGCTTGTCGACAGAGTTCCCAGGAGGTGTAGGTGGGCAGAATTCTCTGTCCTATCATCCAGGGATCCTCCAGGGGTCTGCGGGGCGCTTCTGTGTCTCCTTCTCAAAGGGAGGGTGGGCATTTCGAGCCTCCCAAGGCTTCACAAGAGGGATGGACGCTTGGCAAGGCTCGTCGTTGACACGGCTGGGCTGGGCTCGAAGCACCCGTTTGGATTTGTGCGGATTTTCTTCGAGAAACAACAGCCCGGAGTGAGTTGTATGATATGTGCGTTGCGTTCTCTTGAAACCGGCAGCGACAGCAACGGCGGTGGTGCACGAGGCGTGATCGTCTTGAGTATTTAGCCTTCGGATGTCATGTGGTATGTTGCGCCTGTTCGAGCATACCATGCCACCATTTCGTTCATACACCGACGCAATGCTCTCTCGCAAGAGCGTCTCGCGTGGCAGAGGGGTGAGCATCATGAGACGAGGAATATCATCGTTGGACTGACTGCCCAAGACTCTTGTCATTTCTGAGTTGTGTCATTCGAAGACGAAAGATCGGCATTCATGGAGCCTCGCGGATTTCTTGGATCGGCACTGAACCCCCCTTCCTGGCGCGCCAGGGGCGGCGCTGGGGGCTCCGCCAGGGGGCCCGGCGCCGATCCGCAGATCCGGCCGGAGCTCCGAGAGTGTACGTTTATGTAGTTGATTCTTCCTCCACCATTTGCAGTGCTCCCAGCTGTTCCATGACACGGCAAAAGTGCGCAGGTTCCCAGTGACGAAGAGGCCAGGGAGATGTGGAAAAAGTACCTTCCGGAGAGCAGGAGCCGCATGTTACCTGCCATGGCCATACGGTCCTCCATCTCGCTGACACAGGGCGGGATTGTCATTGTTCGGCGTCCCGCTAAAGGAGAAAGTGCGAGGGGGCAGGCCTTCTCCGGAGGAAGCGGGGCTTTGCAGAAGCCCTCGCGCCTTTGAGAAGCCTTCTCCGTCTTCGGAGAAGGCTTCGAGAGCTTCTCAGAATGCCAGAGACCTTCTGCGCCTTTTGAGAATGCCCGCCCCCTCTGTCTTCGCCCGCCCCCTGGGGCGCGCTGTCAGAGGGGAGACGTCTGGATGCATGACGTGTCGGGGTTAGTGCTGATCCAGTCAGGTTTGACAGTTCCGCGCCTTCGGCCGGCCCCCCGGCTGAATCAGGCGCAAGTTGAAACCGGGCGCACCCACGTGGAACCCAGGCGCAGCCGCGTCAAACATTTGGCACAGGCACCATTGAGAGTGCGATGTTGAAGGCCAGCAGTGGCCCATCCCCCATCATCCGTGCAAGTGCGGTACGTTCTAAGCTCGGGAGCCTGCAGTTGTTGGGAAGTGTCGGGAACAGCGCTTGACTTGCCTTACTGCCGCGCCAGGCAGTGCGATGAGTAGATAGTTCAACGGAAGCGGCGTGGCAGAGAAGGATATGGAGGTGCCAGGAGGGGAGAGGAGGGAGGAAGAAAAGCATGGTGGGGGGGGGGGCAGGGAGAGTGGAGGAGGCGGAACGCATGATGAGGAACAGGACGACGAGGAGCAGGAGGAGTTGGAAGGGGAGGGAGGGGGGCGAAGGGCGAGGAGGGATGGGGGAGAGGAGTGGAGGCGAAATGGGGGAGGGGGGGGGGGGCGGCACGCTAGGTGCGCTCGCGCTATAACTGACATCCTACGCCTCACCCATCCCTTCCCATTGCGATGATTTTCTCTAGCCGCGGACGGGTGCCGTAGCAGACCTGGAACTCCATAAATGTTCCCATCGATTTCTGCGCAATCGGAAAAGGGGAGTTGCGTACATAGATGTGGATGGGGATAGGGATGAGAATGAGGATGAAGATAATGCTGCTGCTGCTGGTAGTACTATGACCGACAAGACGATTTTGACGAGGACGAGGGGGAGAGTGCAGGAGCAAAGGAGCCTGTGCCCTTCCTTCCACCCGTCCTCCTGTACCCTTTCTGCGGCCTTCAGGTTCTGGGGCTTAGGACCCATGAAGCCAGGTTGCGCCTTCGCTGTCCCTGAGCCGCACTGGGCGGCGGTTCACAAGAAATCAATAAAATGAAGAAGAGCTAGGACACTGGAAAGGACGGGACACTTCACGATACACAAGCCCAGCATATGCCCAGCCCAATACGACAAGTCAACCGTATAACGTGTAATACGCATACTAGACAAGAGCGCAATGTTGTTGCTGCTGCTGATGATGCTGATTATGATGATGATGATGATGATGCTGATGATGATGATGCTGATGATGGTGATGATGATTATCATGCTTATGCTCATGCTCATGCTCATGATGATGATGGTGATGATGATGATGATGAGGATGAGGAGGAGGAGGAGGAGAGGGGGAGGTGACGGATGAGCAGGAGGACGAGCAGGAGGAAGAGGAGGATGAGGAAGGATGAGGACAGGAACGAACAGCAGCAGCAGAAATTCGAGTGCACGGCGTTAGGACCAGGGACCAGGGGAAGGCGGAGGCGAGGAAAGAAGGGGGACGACGAAGATGAGGACGGACTCGGATCCAGAAAAGTGGCTCGCGCTGGGGCGAGAGCGCCATTTCAACGACGGGAGCAGAACCCCGATCCCAAGATCAGGCCCACACTGCAGCGGGAGCACCATGCTGGAAGGACCGGGAACGTTCGCTTAGGACGAAAACATAAGAAACAGCAATTCGGAAGCATCCCGTACATAAGCAACAACAGCATAAGCAACAACATGCGGAGGGGGGCGCGCGATTCTCAAAACGTCTCCGTGGAAGAGAGCAGAGAAGTTCTCAGTTTGAGCAAGTGTTGAGAAGCGACGGGGCATGCCAGAGGAAGAAAGTTCGGAGGATGTGGGGGAGGAGGAGGGTGAGAAAGGAGTGAGGAAGTGGAGGAAGAATGGGGAGCGCAGGGGGGGGTGGAGAACGAGGACGATGAGGAGGGGAAGGAGTGGGAGAAAGGGGATGAATGATAAGGGAGGAGGAGGAGGAGGAGGAGGAGGAGGAGGAGGAGGAGAGGAGGAGGAGGAGGAGGAGGAGGAGGAGCATGAGGCGGGAGAGGTGTCGGGCTCAGTTCCTCTGTGCCGCTTGTGCGATTTGCGCCACGCGCCCCACTCGAACAGGCCAAAAGCTCTGCTCACTTCTACTGATGCGTGTCGAATTTGCAGCTCGCATCCTGTCGTCACTCGCTTCTGTCCGCCCCCCCACTCCCTCATCGCCACTCGGAATTCCACCGAGTGGTCAGCGGATGATGTTGAAATCGAAGTCGTGTGATCGGCTGCACATGGAAAAACCATCTTCGGCCACATCTTCGAGCGTTGACGACTCATTGAAAACAGAGAGATTGCAGGATCCTCCCGTTCGACATGAAGGATAACTTCTGGGAGATGGGGGACACCGGCCCCTGCGGCCCCTGCACAGAGATCCACTACGATCGAATTGGTGGCAGCGGCATGGACAGAAGAGCTCGTTGCGTATTTTGCCTCCGGGGGGGCCTAGGGGGCGCGGCAGCGCATACACTATGGGCATCTACAGGCCATTGGCGGAAAATGGGTATTTCGATATTCCCAGACCACAGCTTCTATTCAGCGCTTTCCTATCCCAATATTCGTACTTGTTTCCCTTGGCAGTAGTTTGCTGTGGCGGGCCGAACCCGATCTAGTTTACGTAACCGACTAGTTTGTTCGTCTTTATACAGACGTCTTATTGGCGGACTTTCCTTGATGCTGCGAAAGTCCTGGACCTTGGAAGAATGAGTGGGCTCGTCCAGCTTGACAGGGTCTGCGCACCTGGATTGCGCGTATGTCGAAGTCAAGTTGTTTATGGCCTGTTTGAGCAACGTGCAGAAACATTGCCTATTGCGCGGACACTGTCGCACAACTTTCAAGCGTACGGTCGCGGGTCAGCCCCCTTCTCTCCACGTGGTGCTCGTTGTGAGCGGCGTGCTCAGGCCGCGTAAAGTCGCTCTGTCAGCCTGCGCAAGAGCAACTTGTTCGAGTGGCTGACGCCATGAAGCGAAAGTGACGGGAGACATGAGGTTAGAGGGGAGCCGTGGAGGTGAGAGGGTTGAGTTGTTTGAATCGGCGCGGAATTTGGAGGTTCCTTGTTTGTTCGTTAGGTTATCGTCGAGGCCACGTTGTCTATGAGGTATTTTCATAAAGAACAGTTCTCAATGAGGTATTTTCGCAAAGAGCAGGGGTTTCAGCCTGAGCGTTCTATTTAGTGACGTTCGGCCCACCCCGCCTCCGTGTCTCTGTCGTTGACCAAAGGCCACTGGAGAGGCCTCGTGGGGCCTCCTGGAGAGTTCTTTGAGGCGTCTCGGAACCCTCCCTCCTGAGGACCTCGTGGGGGCCTTGCGGACCTGGAGACGATCTGGGGAGTCACCTTGGTTGGAGGGCTCCGAGTGTTTACGTCGATTCGTGTTCCCCACGCTGGGATACTTGCCGTGAGGCCGCGCTCCTTCTGCCCCCCTCCTCTTGGTTAATTCAAGTTTCGCGCGGCCCGCTTAGCTTCGACCGGAAGGGTGCGCTCTCGACCCGCGTATCGAAAAAATGTTCCCCATGTTGGGCCCCTCCTTGGGGCTGTCTTCTGGGCCTCTCGGGCCCCTGCGGGGGCCCTGGAGGCCGCCTCGGGGCGATCTTCTGTACACGGTGCTCTCTTCTGGCGCCCGTGAGGCCGAAACCGAGCGCGCGACAGTTGTCACACCACTCGGTGTGGTCCACTGGTGGTGGCGTCTTCGGCCGGCCCTTAGGGCCTCCAGGACGGCGCAAGAGCCCCCCAGAGAGCGCCAGCACGGGGCCCCGAGGCCATCTCACAACCGTGGCATCGCTCGGACGTGTGTATTTTTTCTTCGGCGAGGACCTTCGAGGAACATGTACACGTGTGGAGCCGAAAAGTGCATGTGGAGTGGACGTCCGAGCGACGTCGAGATAGCATATTCGAGGTTGAGGCCCCGGCCACGCCCCCGAGGCCGCTGGAAAATTCACGCGGGGAGTCCAGGAGCGCGCGAGTGCCAGGAACGCCCGTGACTCGTGGCTCTTGGCCCCTTCAAGCGTATCTGCTGCATGCTGGAAGTCCCGCCCCCGTGCGAGCCCAGCACTGCGGGTGGCGATTGTTCGAGGAGCGCACAGGGAGTCGTGACGTGTGACGCCTCGTGTCCCGAGGTTGGCGAGAGCCGTGATATGTTGCGCTCTTCCGCGCCGTGTCGGCGTGCTTCTCCGTCTTCCTCCCGGCCTCTTCTTCCCTCCCTCCTCTCTTGGGGTAGCTTGGCTCTTTGGGGCGTCTTGGGCACTCCTTGGGTCGTCTTGGGGCGTTCTTGGGCAGTCCGGCGTCTTTGGAGTCCGTTTGAGTTGGACATTCTGGGTCGTCTTGGGGCCCTCATAGTGCCCTGAAAGGTCGTCTTGGGAGTGTTCTTGGGCGTTTTGGCGGCAGCGGCCCATCTAGAGAGTCTCTTGGGCAGTTTTTGGGCTCTCTTTTAGGCCTCGGGGGCGTCGTGGGCTGACGGAAGCCCAAAACGGGAGAACCCGAGAATAGCTCAGACACCAAATGGTTCCTCAGGGCTCTCCTGAAAATCCTCTTGGAGCACTCGCGGGCCGTGTTGGGCCCTTTTGGCTCGTCTTGAGGACTTTGGGGATCGTCTTAGGGGCCATCTTCGCCCGTCTCGAATCCATATTGGGGGCCATGTTGTTGGCGACAGTCGTGGCCTGCATGGGCCGTCTTGGATGTCATCTCAGGCATCTTGGACGCCCTGGAGAGCGTCCGGGAGGCGTCGGGCGTTCAGGAAGCCTCGATGTTTGCACGGAGGTGGGGGTAGAGCGGGGGGTCCCTGAGAGCACTGCAGACATTCGATCAGAAAGCACATGGCATTCTGCCACGCTTCAACGTGCCCGGGGGCACGGCGGCGGATTCACAATTTCTAGCACGGAGATGTCGAAAGGATCTGAGGTTATTCCGTTGAGGGCCGAGGGCACGGTGGGCACGAGCGTCTCGAGGCCAGGCTCTTCGAGGATGCCCCCCTGGTGTTGTTTGAGGGCGCTCCCCTTACTTCCTCGCGGAAGTCTGTCGCAGTCGATTTCTCCCCCCCAGTCCCGGAGTCCCTCCGACACAAAAATTAGCCCCCCAACGTGGAATTTGGGCGATCTTCCCCAAGGGGGCTACTCGCGCTCATCCCTATCGAATTGGACGCCCCCCCATCTGACATCCCCGAGTTCGACTTCGAGTGATTCGTCTGGTCGAAAACCCCACGAAGTCTGGACATTGAGGTCGCCATACCATACCCCCCGTTAGTCTACAGCAGGGATTGACCGAAGCGTTGTTTACGGCAACCACGTGGACATTCGTCATGTTGCTGTCTTTGTTGCTCTGTTCTCGTTTCAGGGACCTCTGGGAGCCCATCGCGAGTCATGCGGTACACAGTATTGTGAGGGAGTGCGCTTAGACGAACTTGGATGGGTCTGTCAGGTTTTCGCCGCGTCTCCGCCCGTTGCCGCCTCGTTGCCGCCCACTTGGCAGGGTCCGTCGAGGTTTCGGCGCGTCGCCGCCTGTTGCTACCTCATTGCCGCTTCGTTGCGGCCCTCTTGGGGGTGGTCCGTGGAGGTTTCGCCGCGTTGCCACCCGGTGCCGCCTCGTTGCCTCCCACTTCGGGGGCTCCGTCGAAGTCTCGCCGCGTCGCCGCTTGTTCCCGCCGCGTCGCCGCCCGCTGCCGCCCCCTTGCCGCCTCGCTGCCGCCCACTTGGCGGGGTCCGTCGAGGTTTCGCCGCATCGCCGCCCGTTGCTACCTCGTTGCCGCTCCGCTGCCGCCAACTTGGGGGGGGGGGTCCGTCGAGGTCTCGCCCCGTCACCGCCCGTGGCCGTCTCGTTGCCGCCCACTTTGGGGGGATCCGTCGGTGTTCGTCGCGCCGCCCCCCGCTGCCACCGCGTTGCCGCCCACCACGCTTGGGATGTCCGTCGCGGTTGCGCCACATAGCGTGCACCACATAGTTTGCACCACATAGCTCACACCATATAGCTTGCACAACGAAGATTGCAGCACGCACTCGCACATCCACAGTGCAAGGACTCGGTGTTCTGAGCCACGTTGGCCAAAATATTTGACTTTCGTGCTGGACCGGGAATGACGCGAAAACGTAGCATTCGCTCAGTCGGTTTCGTTCTTGGCCCGACCCATTGTCCTCCCGGGCAATCCCGTCGTCTTGGGGGCTTGCCATTCGACGGATCCCGCTCGGAGTGCAAAGCCAAATTCGGTCAGCTTGATGTGGGGCATGTTTTCATCATTCTATGATTTGCGCTTAACTTACCTGGTCCAGGAGTGTCTTCAGATTGCCAGACTGGGCCTGCATTCAGCTTCAGGGTACTGATCAACTGCTTGCCTGTAGCTTGCCTTGAGATTGCGTCCAGCTCCGCTTTAATCTGTTTCAAGCGTGCGGTCCTGCCCGCTTCTGGCGGCATCTCATTCCAGGAAGAGAGAAGCCCCTCGGTGCGGTCGCTCCTGGGGTACTTTTCTGGGGCGGTGCTTGAGAGCTAAGGTGACGAGTTCCTTCCAACTCGCGTGCGGAGAAGTGGGGAGCCTTTGTGAAACTTGGGAGTTGGATCTGAGCAGCGTGCAGCCTTGGGCTCTGCACAGGCTCCCTCGGCCTCTGTTGGGCCTGGCGGGTTCTTGGAGGCTCAAGTTCCTTTCCCGAGATCCGACGCTGTTATCGACCCTTTCTTCGCAGAGGGGGGGTATCGGGGGCAATGGTTCTCTCCCCCTCTCCCTCCTAGTTTCCCCTGCCCGTCCTCGCGAAGCCCATCACCTTTCCCGAGCCGAGGGTCCTGGCTGTGCCAGGCGTTAGGTTTGTCTCGTCCTGAGGTGGGCCGTCGCTCCCAGTGCGAGCACCACTCAGAATCCTCGCCTAGAATCGTTCTATCGCTTCCTTCTCCCATCCCTGGTGGAGAGAAATGAAGAAACAATGGGTGGGCGGCCGGTGTCAGCGTAGCCTCTCCACGTGTGAGGTGGCCGGGACGCGGCCCACCTGGTAAACATGGACGACCCTGACGTGCTCGAGATCTGGAACCTCGTGTTTATGCAGTGAGGGAGGGGGGGACGTCCCCAGCCAGGGCCAGCCACGCGGCGATTCGATGCTGCTCGATTCGCCAGTTGGGGCCGTGATTCCGATCCGATCCAGCTCGGTTCGATTCACCGGCAGCGGCCAGGGCCAGCTTGACCCAGGCGCGGCGATCCGTTACCGATCTGATCCGAGTTCGCCATTTGATCCAGTGCTCACTCCCTCCATTTCCATAGGATCACAAAACGATGAACGACAGAAATGGTTTGACCACATTGATTTGTCTTTGACGAAAGAAGCCGCAGCGCCCGTCACGCGTCGCAAACGCTTCTAGCGCTGAGCCCCCCACAGCAGTTGTGCGCGGCCTCTCAATGGGGTTGGCGAGGACTAAGAAGCGTACTTCCACGAACCTCGCCTGGGCAGCGTTTTCAGACGGGGTGATAGGGGCGCGCGAAACGTGAAAGGTATGGATGATGGGTCCTGCCGCGAAGGACCCCGATCATGTTGAAGAGCCCGAGTAAAATTTTGAATCCGATCGTGAAGGACATCAAACAGAGCAGACGCCAAGCAAAAGTGCCGACGGACAAAAAAACGATGACACAAAAAAGAGTACGGCAAACAAAGTAGGCCGAATATACATTCAAACGACAAAGAACACTTTCCAACAACAAAAACGGTGGACGCCAAAATCCGCCGGCGGCGCAGAGCCGCACCAAAACCCGAAGTAGCAACGACAACATTGTTTTGGACGACGTGCGAAACAGATTGCGGCAGCGCCGTTCGCATTGTAAATGCATAGGGGATGTTGGCCGAGGGGCAAGTTCATCACGCGTTTCGTTCGGTAGATTTTCCGTCGCGCGTTGCGCGCGGCTCGAATGGAATGCTCGCGCCCGCGCTGGGATTCCGCGCGCGCAGATGCTTTCGCGCGCGCGCGCGCATGGCGCGCGGCGGGATTGGCGCGCGATTGAGAGACGTGTGCGCGCGCCATCGCGCGCGCTGCCGCTGCGGGCAGCGGCGCGAGACGAGCCTGGCGCGCGCCGCCTGCACGCTCGCGGGGGGGTGACAATGTTCGGGCGAAGAGAATTATGCACGTGCACCAGTCCTGGCAAGGCCCATCCTCGACCCAGGATCGGTGCATATGCCTTCCTGGCCAAGGCAGGATGGCGTATGCACCGATCCTGGGCTCAGGATGGGCCTGGCCAGAATCGGTGTATGTGCATAGTTCTTGTTCCTCTAAATGTGCGCGCGCAACGATGTAGCCACTCACCAAACATAGCGCGTAGTCCGTCCACGATGCACACGGCGCGATACCAGCGTCAACGCGAGAGCCATGATTTGGGGTGGGTGGTGGCATCGGAGTTGAATTCGCAGGTCGTTCAACGCATTTCGGCACGCTTCAGTGGAGAATGTTTGGAATAAGTTCGATGCTCTTTGTCATACAATTTGTCGGTGGATCCTGTCTCTTAGGTGATGAGGAGGTGGCAGCTCCTGCCTGCCAGCGTGAGTGCGCACGCCGGTCAGCACCGTGGGCCCGTCCCCCATACCCCGCCTCACGTGGCCGTGTCTGTCGGGAGTCGGGTTTCGCGGCGTTCCCCACCCCCAGCTCGAAGGGGCAGGCTTGTGGCGCCAAAGAACCCTTGGCCCGTTTGGGATGTGGGATAGGTTTAACGATGTTGTGCCCCCATCAAAAGTCAGGGTCCTTGTCGATCCAATCGAGCCAAGGCCCGATCCGATTCGAGCCCGATTTTGGGGCGAACCGATGCGACCCGATGCTTGCATGGCGCCGTTGCGCGTCTTGCTGTGACCGATTTGGCTCGATTCCAACCCCTATGCTGGTACAGACCGATCCGACGCACATCCCGATGCGATCTGATTCACCGATCCGGTATGGATTAGTCCTGACGTTTTTGCGCACGCCGACCCACGCCGACCGCCAGCGACATCCCAGGGAACGGCGTGGTGCGCAGCCACGCAACCCTAAAGTGGGCAACCTTGCTTGGCACGAAAAGTGCGATTCCAGGATCTTCAATTTCCCCGGGATCGGCGTTCCGTCCCATTGTTTGTTCGACTGCCGTGGGGGCCCAGCGGGGGCCCCCGGATGTAGGGTTGCAATCAGTTTTTGCATCGCCTGGCGATAACGGGCGTGATCAGAGAGGCAAGGTGATGGGGGAGACCCCGACTTTCAGGAGGGTGAAGAAATAGCACGAGGACTTCGACATCGAAACTCCTGTCGAGGTTTTAGGCCGTCCAGATAGGTCTATAGGTCTGGAGGGCTATCCTTTAGCACGCCAGGGGAGGAAGGTGGGCCGGTCAGGTCGCGATTCGCGCCAGCGCGGTTTGTGGGAAGGAATAGCCAGCTCTCACACGGCGACACCGCGGATCTAGACGTGACCACATTAGGGTGTAGAGGGATGGGGGAGCCTGGGCTGGTCACGGGCGTCATTCGGGACGATCGAAATTGATGCGGAAAGAATGGGTACGATACCGATCAGCAGTCCTTGTTCATTCTGAACAGGATTCGCTGTTCGCGCCGCCGCGGAGGTTGTTTTTTGAAGACAACGCCGCCTGCCCAACAGCGGCCGCTGTTGGTTTGTTGTTGGGCATTGTGCCCATTTGTCCGTACCCATTTCGAGCGTCCAAATCGCAAAAACGGGTCTTTGGGAGGTACAACCGCGAGAACGACGGCTCCCTGACCACCCTCCCGGCCCAGAGCGTCGACACGGGCGCTGGCCTCGAGCGCGCCCGGGCCTCGAGGGCGGCGGGGCCCCTTTCGCGAGGGGGGGCCTGCGGATGCGGTTCGCCCGGGCCTCGCCCACTGGGCGGCCGCGGCGTCCAGGGCGCAGGCCTCCACGCAGCCGGGGGTGTAGACTCCCCGCCTGACCTCCAGCGTACCGAACAATTCCATCCGGAGGTTTTTCATAGTTTCCTGCCTCTCGGGGGGCTGTCGCGGGGCCCCAGGGCCATCAACCATCACTCAGACGGTAAAGCCAGCCCCGGGGAAAGGGTCGGAACTTTCAGAGGCGACGTATTTCGGGGGCGGAAAAGAGGGGGTGATGACTAGGGGGGGGGACATCATGGCGGGGGCCATGATATTTCCCCAGATCTCGTGGCGCCTCTCCTGATTTCATTACGTTCCTGGCCCCCCCCCCTGGGCCGCGCACATGCCGCCAGCCATGATTTGCACTCCCCCCCCCTTGGACACTCCCCCTCTTGGCCGCTCCCGAGTATTGAAACGAAAGCCATCCTTCGGATCTCTTGGCCCTCGCCGTGACAAAGCACGACGGGAGGCTTTCTGCTACCTTCTCGGGTTCCGGGGGGCGCCCGCGTAGCCCCGGGACCGTCAGAAGACGCTTCGGGACGAGAGGCTGGTCTCGGGGGCAAGGGGTCCAGGCCTCCAGTTGGTGGTCCGCGTGGCGGGAAGCCACGTGTCGGAGGAAGCTCTCGAGCATCCTCCGTCGTGATCTCTTCCGATGTTCCAGCATGGTCCAAACGAGCGACGCCAGAAAACAGGGGCCTTCTGCGCCGACATTGGCGCGTCCGCTGCCCGCGTAAGGTCGCGCGTAAGCGCCTCGCTTCAAATGTGGCGTGCCACACTGGCGGCCCGCGTAAGCCACCGCGCAAGGTCCCTACGTCATGTCGACCCGTTTTTGATCGTGGCTCAGATGGGGACGGCCTCCAAGACTGGCCGCCCGCCCAAGTGGCTGTCAAGGCGCCCGCTCTGACCTGACGTGCGCACGTCGATTCAAGTTCACAGTGGGGGCCCATGCCAAGAAATACCCTGCTCGCCTCCAGGGTGCCCTGGGTTTCTTGGGTTTCGATGGTTTTGCTATGGAAAGCGTGACGCTCCTACACCAAAATCCATGGACGTCCTGGGGTCTCAGGGTTGGGTTTCTTGTGGAAGGTTTCTTGCTGTCGGGCCCGCACTGTATCCTTCCAGGGATGCCGCCGAGGATGTTTCTACATGTTCCACATTGGGGAAACACCTCCCCCGATGGCGCAGCTCCTTCGCGGCGCGGGCCAGGGGGGTGGGCGCTTCGACCTTCTTGGGGCTCCAGGCCTCCGACGGCGCGGTTCCTCGACGTTCTCATTCTCTTCGCCCCGATGTTTCCAGCATGATTCCTCGTTTTGGAGCCAGCTGGGGGTCTGAGGTGCACTCGTTGGAAGGAGGAGCGGGAGCAGCGGGAGCAGGAGCGAAAAAAGGACGCACACGTGCATGAATCCTCGTTGGTATCGAGTGTGCGCACTGCGCGAACGTTCATATCACGCGGCCGGTCTCGCGGATTGGGGGGCCATGTTAATGTACATGGTTGGGCGCGTACGTCGTTTGTGGGGCTCCCTATGGAGGACGGAGGGAGGAAGAGCGGGAGCAGGGGGAGGAGGAGGAGGAGGAGGGGAGGAGCAGGAGAGGGATGAGGAAGGGAGTTTCCTTTGAGCTTCCCCGACACCCGGAAGAATTGGCGGGGGCGGGGGTTCCAGGCGCGCTGGTGTCGGAGAGGTTGTTGGCTTGTTCGGTCCCTGGGGGCCGTTCTCGGGCCACGGGGCCAGCAAAACGGCTTCGGAGTGAAAAGTTGCACCAGATGGACCCCCTGGAGAGGTCCGGGGAACGATTTTGAGCGGATGTGCTTTCATCCCTGACTGATGTTCTCGGGGCCCAGCCAGTTCAGACTCCGTGGCCGCCTCCAAAAACTTCGGTCTGGGTACAGGGCGACTTTTCACAGCTATCCTGTGGTGTTGGGTCCTCGTTTTGAAGAGAACGCCCCGCGTCTCCTTCACTCCTTCCTCCTCCCCCTTCTCTGTCCTTCCCCTGTGGCTGCGTCCACATACGTCCCGCGTCCATTTCGGCACACCCGTCACACACGCTCCGTGGCCCCATAGGGAGCTCCACCGAAGGCCCCAGTAGCTGCGTCCACATGCGTCCAGCGCCCATTTCGGCACACCCCTCAGAGAGCAAATGTTGATTGCTCAGGATATGTCTGTAACATTCCAAGAGCTGGCGAGTCTAGATGGAGGGCAGGCCCAGGCATCCGACGACATGCTTTATTGAGTCTCGGCGTGCTTCCTTGATCTCTCTGCCTGGGGGCTGTTTTTCGGGCCCCAAGGCGATCAAGCGTTGATCCGGGAGAGAGGAGGCCCGAGGGGAAGGGGTCGGGAGTTCTCTGTGGTCATATAGTTATTGACAATCGTAATACTGTCATATGTCTAATGTGGTATCTGGCGCCGCGGCCGTCTCCAGAGTTTTCCCGAACCTCATGAGAGCGCTCGGGAACACCTCAGGGCGACTTTCATCCTCATCGTACGCGTGTTCGGCAGGATGTTTCCCAGACCTTGCTTGGAATTTTTTGGTAGCTTTAGGGACGCGATAATACTTTACCTCGCGTGGGATTTCGGCAACATTTGCTAATGGGCAGCCCTCTATTGTGGTAAGGTTGAAGGTCCGAGGCCTCTGGGATGCTTGTGGGATCTTTTGGGAAGCCTTGCGACAGCCTCTTGGAGGCGGTTGCGGGGGTGTCTTGGGGCCTCTTGTTGCCTCTCGGGGGCCTCCTGGGGCCTGATTTGTGCCTTGGGGGGGCCTCCGGAATCTCCCTGGGAAACTTCCCGTAGCGCCATCGAAAATGCCAGAAATAAACATTTTATGCTGATTGTTAATTGTTGAGCTCCCGTCGTTGTTGATGTTTGAGCTCTGCTTCTGGAATTGTTGAAAAGGGGGCGATCGATCGGGGACGAGCAATCTACCCCCACGTGCCGCCGTAGGGGTATGAAGTTTCCCGTTCACCCTGGGTAAGTTCTGGTGGGCAGCGCTCGCGTGGTAGGGCGGTTGTGATTCCGAGATCGGCACGCCTGAGCGTTTTCGTGGCATCGCTCGGACGTGCGCACTCTTCTGGGCGAGGCCAGCGCCTGAAGATCTGGACCATCTTGGAACGTCGTGGACCACCTTGCGAAACAAGCAAAAAGCACCGGAGCGAAGCCAAAACACACGTGGGGAATGGACGTGCGAACGATGGCAAGTTTTGTCGCTCGTCTCGGCTATTCTCGAGGCTGGCCCCGAGTGGGTGTCGTCGGGGGGGAGCGAGGCGAGCGTGAGACCCAGGTCACGTCCGTGCTCATGGACAAGCGCAGTAACTACGACACCGACCTCTTCACCGAGATTTTCGACGCGATTCAGGAGCGGCACCGCGACACCCTCGCGCGTGAAAAGGGGCGGGTCTTTTCAGGAGGCTTGGAAATCCCTCGGCCTTCTGAAAAGTTTTCGAAACTTTTCCCGGCGACATGGGAAACCTGTCAGAAGGCTGGAGGCCTTCTGAGAAGCACCGCTGCCTTCTAAGAAGGCATTCTCCTTCTCACGTCCACCCTGGCTCGCCGCCGAGTGAGGGCGCCCAGGGACACCCAGCAGAAGCGCCAGGGTACAGCACCGCGCGGCCTGTGCCGACCAGTGTGTATGCTCTTCGCCAGGGGCACGGGGGCGGCTTCGTTGCGCCCGCGGGCCGTGCCTTTCGAGGAATCATGACGCGGCATACGCCATGGCCCCGGACGGCGGAGGGAGGACGAGGAGGAGGAGGAGGAGGAGGCGGAGGAGGAGGAGGAGGAGGTGGAGGAGGAGGAGGAGGAGGAGGAGGAGAATGTGGAGGAGGAGGAGGACGAGGAGGAAGGGAGGAGGAGGAGGAGGAGGAGGAGGAGGGGGAAGAGGAGGAGGAGGAGGAGGAGGAGGAGGAGGAGGAGGGAGAGGAGGAGGAGGAGGAGCAGGAGAAGGAGGAGGAAGGGGGAGGGGGAGGGGGAGGGGGAGGGGGAGGGTGGGTAGAAGAGGGAGGAAGGGGAGGGGGAGGAGGGCAAGATCCGCCAGACTTTTCTGTAATCAGTCGTCGGGCCATAAAGGGAGGGGGAGGAGGAGGAGGAGGAGGAGGAGGAGGAGGAGGAGGAAGGCCTCACTGGCCTCTAAAAGGGTTTATTTCCTCGTTCCACTGAGGGAACTGCCTCGTTGGAAGACAACCGTTGGACTTCAACACCACGAATCAACGTGACCCTGAGTCATGTCAAAACACCGTATCTGATACGCTGACCGGTGGAATCCGTGAAGCTCTTGCATTGTTTCTTAATCACAAAAAAACTATTGCGCGCGGCGCAATGGCGAGAGCCGCATTTTGAAAAGAAGCCGCCCTGAATCCGTGAAGCTCTTGTAATTTGTTGAACGAATGTGCGCGGCGCTATGGCGAGAGCCACATTTTGAAAAGGAACCGCTTTGAGTCCGTGAAACTGTTGCAGTAGAAAAAGCAAACGAATGTGCGCGGCGCTAAGGCGAGAGCCACATTGTGAAAACCACCCGCCCTCCATCTGTGAAACTATTGCCAACGTTTAAGCTTCAGGTCATGAATGGTGGGGAAGTCTCAGGCGAAACGCCCGGACCGCCTAAAAACTGGCATCGGGGTGCAACAGGGAGAAGCTATTTATGAGGGGCACGAATGGAGAAGGAGGAGGAGGAGGTGGAGGAGCACGACGAGGAGGAGGAGCAGGAGGAAGAGGAAACGGAGGAGGAGGAGGAGGACGAGGAGCAAAAGGAGGAGAGGGCGCGAGTGCGCGAAGGGTCGCCGCTCTTCGCGGCTCGCGCAGCGCGAAGTACGGAGCTGGGCGACTTGGAGCCGCTGCTTCTGGGTGGCGCTGAAACGGGGAGGGGCATGTCCCAACATCGTCTACTTGTCCCTATCCCCACTGGACCATGGTATCTCCCGGATGGGGTTCGGACGAGGTGCATCCGTTCCAGAGCGTCCCGGAACGCTCTCAGAGCGTTTCGCAACGCTCTGAGAAAATTGCGGCGCCCGAGACATTTTCCAGAGGTGCCAGATCTCAGAGATGATCGATTTCTCCTCACCCGATGTTATATTATTCCTGGCTTTGTCTTACTCTCTGCCTCCGCCCACCCTTTCAGGTGGGGATAGGACTTGCGAATCCGGCAGGAACAGGCATGTATCCCCACCCAGGTGGGTATTCGGCCAGTGGGGCCAAGGCCACGCCAGTGAGGATAGGGATCAGTTAAACGATGTTGAATGTCGAGTGGCTCCGCCGGCTCCCGTTCCAGCGGCGCCTCTTCGCAGCAGCCCTTAGTCGGCGCGGTCACTCGGGGCCAGCAGACAGCCCTCCCGACCAGTATGGCAGGTTTCACATCCCCCGCACCCCCCTGCCTCCGACGTTATACGCTTACTCAGTCCACGTCCCCCAGGGGTCTCGACCCCTTCCCGAGGGGCTCTGTTTTTTTCGTTCGGGGTCTTCTGTTCAATGGTCCAACGGCCCAGAAACGCCCGCTCGGAGGTTTGGTTGAGCACGCAGCTTTCTTCATTTGCGCGTCGCCCCTTTTGCTCGACTGCATCACAGTCCATACGCCCGACTTTGGGCCTCGGCCTCCAGAGACCTCTCTAGTCCTGGAAGGGGGTGTGGGGCGAAAACAGCGGGCGCGTGCGTGTCCTCTTTGGCCTCCCAGCAGGCCAAGACCGGGTGCAGGGACTACACTGGCAAGGTGGGCGACGAGGACACCGACCACGTGGGGAGGGGGGGAGCGCAGCGCATGGACCCCCTTCTGTGTCATCTCCATCCTCGTTCGTCCACCTTGGTCCTCCTCGTCGTCCCTCCTGCCGCTGACGGCGATTGCTACCCGAAGCCCCTGATCCTCCGCCTCCCCATCGTCGTCCTCCCTCCCTTGCTCGCTATTCCTTCACATCCTGCTGCCTCCTCTCTCCTTTCTCCCACCTTTTTTCTCCCCGTTTCCTTCGTGTTCTCCGCATCCTTCTGCTCCTAATCCACCCTCGCCCCGCCTGCTCGTCCTCTTGATTCCTGCATTTAATTATCCTCCCGGCCCGTCGTCCACAATCTTCTCTCATCCTGCCCTTTCTCCTCCTCGTCCTCCACCTCCTCCTCCTCCTCCTCCTCCTCCTCCTCCTCCTCCTCCTCCTCCTCAATGTTACTTTTCCCCCTCCTGCATATCCAGGCGCAGTCTCTGTCTCACGCTCCTCCTCCTTCGTGCGTACTGCGTGATTTGAGAAGATGTGATATATTTCATGTGCGGCGCCCTCCTGGGTCGCAGAGGGTGCGATTGCACCCTTGGTCTTGGAATAGGGGGGCTAGGATTGATTGGCTCATCCTTTTCCTTCCCTCCTGCCCATGGGGATTTCGCTTTGCCCATCCTAGTCGCATCCTGCCCCTCCATCGTCCCCCTTCTTGATACGCATCCCCCCGCCCCGTTCTTACGTGCATGCTGCTGCGATTTGTTTCCATATCCTATTATTGTGTAGTCCGGCTCCTCTTATCTTTTGCGCGTGCCCCGGAGGCGCAAGCGGCCCCAACAGTTTTTCCCCTGGCATTACCAGTGAGGGTGTTTCGTGTACTCAACTTCGTCGGCGCGCTTTGCCGTGCAGGTGCCCGCCTGCGCGAGCTGTCCTTCACCACGGCTGGCTCATGGCGCTTCCTGCCAGGCAGGATGCTCGTCCTTTCCAGAGTGAACACAAGAAGCAGAGGGCTGCATGGGCAAAGCCATGGTATTGTAAGCATTGCTGGTCACAGTCTACGGGCGATCGGTGGTGGAATCGTGCGGACCAAGACAAGTGCCAGTTGTGCAAAGAGCATAAGGGCACCGCCTTCGGCGGCACCAAGGAGGTCGTCGGACAGGTGCCAAGCAAGAGCGCCCGTGCTGCTGGCGGCGCGGGCGGTCATGAGGCGGAGGTCAAGAAGGTGCGGGCAGAGCTGGCGAAGCTCAAGAGCCAGCAGCAGGCACCAGGCAGCGGCGGGGTCGACGCCATGGAGATCGACGAGCTCGGCCTCGGCAAGGGGCCCGACGAGGACCTCAAGCGTGAGTTGGCGGACGTGGGCTCCCACCTCGCGGCGCTGGAGACAACGTCGTGCGCGGAGCTGGTCGAGGCCCGCGAGAAGCTCCGCGCGCGCCAGGGCGAGCTGCGCAAGCGGCTCGTGGCGGGCAAGAGTCTCGACACACGCCACAAGGAGATCTCCTTCCAGCATCAGAAGCTGGAGAAGCGCAAGGCGAAGCAGGAGGAGCACCTCGTCACGCTGCGGGAGAAAGTGCGCGCGGCCGAGGCGGCGGTCACCGAGGCGGCGCTGGGGCTTCACCGCCTCGTCGCCGAGCTCCTGGAGCTCGAGGAGGAACGCCGCCAGCTGGTCGCCCAGGTGCCGCGCCCGCAGGATGGCGAGAAGCCCTCGCTGTCGCAGGTGCTGCCAGTCGCATCCGAGCAGATCACGGTGGACAAGCTGGGGGAGCTGCTCGCCGCCTTCGGCGGGTCGGGCGACTTGGCGACGAGGCTACATGGCTGCTTGGAGGAGGCGCGGGCGGCTGAGGCGGAGCACCGTGCTGAGCAGCGGCGAAGGGCGGCGGGGGCGGCGGCGCAGCAGCAGGCAGTGGGCCAAGGCCACGGTGGTGCGGCCGCCCCCGCAGCCGCGCCTGGCGTCGCGGCACCAGGCTCACCGAGCTGGATCCCCAACGCCGATGGGGACCCCGAGGTGATGCGGGCCTTCCTGCAATCGGTCAACGTGGAGGTGCCTGAGGACGAGGGCGAGCTGCGCGAGGCTGTCAAGAGGGCGGGTGAGTCCCTCTCCAGCCTTGCCAAGAAGCAGCGGTGCAGTGCATCGTCCGGTGAACCTCATCCTAGGCATGATGATGCAGATTGTTACAGTGAAGTCTTCTTCTCATGGTCCCCTGGCGGAGATGCTGGAGGCAGAGGAGCCGTGTCTCGGGACAGGGCCCATGGTGATTTGCTGCCAGGAGCACCATCTGCGCTGCGACAAGTTGGGCTCATTCCAGGCCAGGCTTGCAGCAGCAGGGTTTCATGGTGCGTAATCGGCAGCAGAGGCAACCGAGAACCGAGGATCTCGAGGGGGGGTTGCGGTGCTGAGCCCCTCCAACGCGCAGGTCACGTGTCCGCCGCTGGCGATGCCGGGGGAACTCGTGCCTGCTAGAGCTGTGGCAGCCCACATTCGAAGATGAAAGGCGGTTTCATTGCGATATCGGCATACCTGTGGGTGGACGAGCTGCTCGGGCCCAACACTATTCGACTGTTAACGGAAGTCGCCAGCTATGCACATAGGGTGCAGGCTCTCGGATTTGACTGGGTACTGGGTGCGGATTTCAATATGCGGCCTGCGCTGATGAAGGCATGGGCGGCTTCCTTCGGCGGTGTAATTGTAGCCGCCACGACTCCCATGTGCACTCAGAGCATACCAGGCACGGTGATCGACTTCTTTGTGATGAGTGCGAACATGGCTATTCGTACGTCGGCACCCGAGGTTTGTATGACGGCCAATCTTTCACCTCACAGGCCAGTCTGCGTGCAGATGCAAGGGCCCGATGCGGTCCTGTGGGCGCGTGCGGCTAGGCAGCCGAGCGCGGTGCCAGTGACGGCGAAGCCTGGCTGCGCGCGCTACCCGAGGGACTGGGCGGGCTACATCAACGAGGTGGGCAGAGCGACTATCGCCGACGAGCTCGCGACTACCGCCGACGAGCAGGAATTGTTGGACAGGCACGACATCATGGGGCCAGCGCGGAAGTAACATGAGGGCCGGGCAGGCCCACATGAGACGGTTTGGAAGCAGGTGAAGTCGGTGGTGCGTACTCGGTTGCCGAAGGCGGACGTAGAGCACTCGGAATGGGCGGTCGCAGCACGATGGGCGCGGCAGATCAGGCGGGCCAGCCAGGCCCTCGCAACCTACATCTCGAAGCTGAGCGAGGAGGGCGAGGTCCAGCAGCTGCACCTGCTGGAGAAGGTGGCACGCAGCCTGCTTGAGGCGCAGGCGTTCATGAGCAACGTCGCGAGGCAGAGGGCGACCCTGCAGGCGCTGGACCATCTGACGCGCACATTTTCTCGCTGGCCTAGCGGCCCTAGGCGACCCTGCTACCGAAGATTTGATTCAGCGAATCCTGCTGAAGGAGGAATCCTGGAAAGCCTGGATTAGGAGCAGTGTTTTGGGCGGGGCTCGGGAGGCTCATAGGTTTTCCAAAGTCCGAGGGATCCAGGAGACGATCGAGGCCACCGAGCGAGCGCAGCCGTTTCAATTGGCGGACGCGACGTGCTCGGATTTGGCCAAGATATGGTCGACTCACGGATGTCGAGTGCCCGAGTTCCCGCCCGATTTCGATGATTGGCCGTCGCTTCTCGAGATTACGATTCCCGACATGCGAGCGGCGATTGCCAAATTTCCTCCCCGCACAGCTGTCGGGTGCTTGAGCGTACGCCCGAGATCGTTGCAGTATTCGTCGGATGAGTTCAAGCGATTCAGTCTTTGATGTAAATCTAGCAGCGGAGATTGCGAAGGCAAGGTCGCATCATTGTGTCTCGATGCTGCTAGACATGGCGAAGTGCTATGAGATGATTAAATTGTCTGTTTTGTTTCAGGTTTTTCGCCAGGTCCAGTTCCCGCGTAGGATGGGGTGGATGCTCATCCAGAGCTACATGGCCCCCAGGCGGGTCGACGCTTTCGGGCCCCTCTCCGAGGCCGATGTTAGTTTCCAAGGAATGTTAGCAGGCTGCTCGGCAGCGTCGTCGGTGATGCTGGCTGTTCTGCTTCGGCCTGTCCAATCAGCAGTTAAGCGTTTCCCTTCGGCGCGGGCTCGAGCCGTCATGGATGATGTGTCCCTGCAGTGGGACGGACCCGACATAAAAGAGTCCAAGGTGGTCTTGGCCGCGGCCCGTGAACTGCGCCGCGAAGTCTCGCCGATTGGCTTCCTTTTGCAGCCCAACAAGTCTGGCATCGTTGCCTCGAGCGTGGCCGCTGAGAAAAACATTGCCTCGCCTGGCCGCTCGTTGGGTTTCCAGAAGCAAAAGCACATGCGCAAGCTCGGCCACGACCTGCATGGACGACGCGTCCTGCGGGTGATGGAGGCTCGTAGGAGACGGCAGCTCGACATGCGTAGGCAGAGGCTTGTCATTATGAGGAGGTCGGCGGGGGGAGAGCGGGTGGCGGGTTTGCGGGGGACGGGATTGATGCCGCGCGGCAGCCATGGCGCTGCGGTGTCAGGCGTCACTGATGCCACACTTCGCTCGCTTCGTTCGCTCGCCGCCTCCCTTCTTGGGGCAAAGGGCCGTAGTCATGTGACTCCGTATTTATGTACGCACAAGGATAAGTTCTACGATCCAGTGTTTGACGCCACCGTTCCACTAGTGCATCGTCACTGCTGTTGGGCATGGGACGGCCGAGCCAAAGATTCCGACATGCGTTGTGCGTGGGAGCAGGCCTCGAGAGCTCTCTTGGCGGCCCCGCGTTGGTCTAGAGTCAGAGGGCCGGTGGGGGCTGTCATGCTCTCGCTGCAGCGAGTCGGATGGGATCTAGTTGGGCCGCGCCACATTAGGACGGACCAGAATGAAGTTCTTTCCTTGCCGCGCGCGCCCCCCTCGGATGTGCGACACTTGCTGGGGGAAGGAATTAGCAGAGCCCAGGGGATCCAGCTTGTTTCGAGTCTCCCCGAGGCCCAGGGGCACGAGGTCGTCTGGGTCAGGGCTCTTAGGCTGGGGTTCCAGAGGCTGCAGGGGGCCCGCAGAGCCT